CCACTAAACCCTATCATTTTTGGCAGGTTTTCTTTTTACCAAATCATTTTTGGTAAGTTAAGGCTTAGTTTAGTGTTTATGTTTCCTCTTAGCAGTTAATTTTTCATTTAATATGTAACTTTTGATTTTGATATCATGCACTGAATTGTATAATAATCAAAATAAATAAGGTAAGAGTAACTTTTCTGACTGAATTAATTGATGTTACTGTAGATGATTATTTTAGCTATTTTATACGGAGTATATTATCTATTCTTTACTTTGTTAATAAAATGTACAAGGTATGTCAAATAATTTTTTTCATAATTCCATAAATTTGGACACTTCAATTAGAACTTCACGAATTTTAGCAAATTCTATCGATTCAATCAATTTTCGGTGTTATCAAACAGACTCTAAGACTTTAATATACCAATATTAAAAATAATGGAAAATTTTTCGTCAATTAAAAAATGTGATTATAAAATAATACAATCTTGTTAATTTGGGATGTTTTTAAGCGAACTAAAACTTGATGGTTCAATCTAGTATGGTCTGTTTAAGTTTAGTCTGATCTGGTCATGTCTGAATTGGACTGGCCTGATTTGACAAATATCTTGTCTTCGTATACTTTATAACTGTGAAAGTTCGGTCTGATTTGCTTTATTTAAGTTCGATATTGTGTGATTATTGTCTGATTTAGTCTCGGACGGAAAAGAAACTAAGTAAAAACACCTTTTATACTTTGACTTTTGTACGCACACAACGCCCTATGACAGGTATATCATCTTGAGTTTTTTCCCGGAATAATGCTAAATAAATAAATAATTCTCAAAATACTGCTGGGTTAAAAATAATTCCCAAAATACTGCTGGATTAACCGTAGTTAAGGAAAGCCGCCACTTGAAGTGGCGGGTTTTCAATTACAGTACAAGAGTCGCCACTTGAAGTGGCGGCTTTCTAACTAAAAAAACGCAGCACCGAGATGTAAGGCCAAAGACATGTAACCAATATATGGTAGTGGGTCCCACTACCATTAAATATCTCCTATTTTCTTTGAAGTGCTATAACTCTTTTATTTGTACTTTGATTGTTACATAACATATACCGAAATTCATAACTTTTTATTATCTTTCATATGACACCAATATTGAATATAAAAAAAAAAATTAACGCTTTAAAAATTACTGCGTATCTGTTTTTAAAGTGCATATACTCCCTCCGTCCCTTAAAACTTTGTCATCTTTCCTTTTTGGGACGTCCCTAAAAACTTTGCCACTTTCCCTTTCAATCAATGTTTTGTAGTTTCTGTTATTTCTCTCTACTCTGCACAAACCTCAACCACACAATTTTTTATTTTATTATTCTACGTGTCGGTCAACTTTGACAAAGTTTTAAGGGGACGGAGGTAGTATTTTTTATTTGTATTCCGAATATTTCAAAAAAAAACATCAATTTTTTTATTTTTTATTACTACGCATGTTTTATAGGGAAGCAATGTTTCATATAGAAAAATAAAAAGAAAATATAATAATTTCTGTAGTTTATACAGATCATGGTAAAAAACGATAGGGAAGCAATGTTCTATAAAAAACGATCCTAAACAGTCTAAACTACAAAAATTAATATATATTTTTTCATTTTTCTATATGAAACATTGCTTCCCTATAAAACATAATAAAAAATAAAAAAATTTGATGTATTTTTTGTAATATTCGGAATACAAATAAAAAATATATGCACTTTAAAAACAGATACGCAGTAATTTTTAAAGCGTTAATTTTTTTTTGATTTTATATATTCAATATTGGTGTCATATGAAAGATAATGAAAAGTTATGAATTTCGGTATATGTTATGTAACAATCAAAGTACAAATAAAAGAGTTATAGCACTTCAAAGAAAACAGGAGATATTTAATGGTAGTGGGACCCACTACTATATATTGGTTACATGTCTTTGGCCTTACATCTCGGTGCTGCATTTTTTAGTTAGAAAGCCGCCACTTCAAGTGGCGGCTCTTCTACTGTAAGTGAAAACCCGCCACTTCAAGTGACGGCTTTCCTTAACCACGGTTAATCCAGCAGTATTTTGGGAATTATTTTTAACCCAGCAGTATTTTGGGAATTATTTATTTATTTAACATTATTCCGGGAAAAAACTCTATCATCTTAGGTAAGTTTTTCTTTACCAAATATCTTTGGTAACTTAAAGCTCTAATCATAAGATTATAATACTACTAAGTTTTTGCTCAATAACAACTATGTTGAAGCTCAATTCACCCTTGATAAATTTAAAATATACGGAGTAACAATTTGGCAAAGAAAATTAAAAAATACATTAAACTTCGATGATAAAGCAGCCAAACAAATCAGAAAAACAAGGCGGCGATCGAGACAAAAAAAAAATGAATGGCGGTGTAATCGTTTTAGAAAACTAGAACTTTTAATGCAATTTGTAAACTGTCTTACCCATACTCAATTATTTGATAGTACATACGAAGTACTAGTATTATATAAATTAACATTTTTATCACCTTTATTTTAATCATATACGGAGTAAGTAATTATTTGGATTTTATACCATATTTGAATTAAGCTTTCACGGTTTAATATTCCATTGAACACAATTCCTATACAGTGGGATATTGAGATTGGCGCTTCATGCGACAGTATATACAATTACACATACAGTGGGACTAGACTAGCGCTTTTAATGAGTCGAGCCGGAGCACTCCGAGCTCGAGTTCAATTCGGCTCGATTTGCTAATAGTGATGTTTGGATTCTAGCTTAAAGATCGACAAGCTTTACAAATGAGACTCGTGTTCGATTTTATAGGCATTCGAAGTTCGAACTGATCGCTGGATAAGTTCTACAAATATATTTGAATTTAAAATTTTAGGTGATACTCATTAATAAGCTGATGCTCAAATAATTCGACAAATACTTGTTTCATTAATAATTATATTTAAATTTATAAAGGTGTACTAATTATATTTAAATTTTGACGTGTGTGTATATAATTCCAGGGTATTCGATAGGCCCGAGCTCGAACCAAGATGAATACTAATATATTCGAGCTGAACTCAATTAATTGCTTGAACTTAAGATTCAACTTGTGTTTGAGTTTGAAGCTCGTGAAACTCGACTCGTTATGTTCGAAATCGAGCTCGAACACGAATAGTTCGGAAAACAAATTGTGTAATTTATGGTCAGTGCCGGTCTTGTCCAGTTTTGGGTCTATGAGCGGTATACTATTTTCACCTTATTTTCAAAACAAACAGTATATTGTATTTACTTAAAGTAAAATTATGGAGTATAATAAACTATGGGAAACTACTCCAAATAGAACTAAAAACGTTTGTATATTCAAAAGTAAGATTATCAGGTTTTTATTCCCTAAGTAGAAGTAATCACTGCCATTTTGACAGTATCATACTTTACACATGGTAGTATATTCCGAACATGACAATAATTACTCATATTCAGAAAATAAACACATGTCAGTCTTATTTTGAAATTCTAAAAAACCTCCTATTTCAGGAATTATCCCTATAACTATCTAATAAACGTTATAAAATAAAGATGAAATTCACCTTAATATTAATTGAATTACATATATGGACAAAAGTAACAACACAAGTATCACAAAAGAACATTATGAAGTAAAATCATCAATAAGCTTATCAATCTTTTCCAAGATGACATGTGCATTGTTTAAAATTGTAATCCATTAAGTTTTTTGAGACATAATAGATGATTGGGATGATGTTTGAGAATTGGGGCACTGGTAGCACAAAGACAATAATATAAATCGGTAATTTGTAATTAAAAAAAATAAAAAAGTCTTAAAGGTTAAAAAATGTGATTAAAGGTTAATTAATTGAAATTATAAATAAAAAAAGCATACTCAGATTACATATAAAGAAAAAAAATTGAGCCTAATTTTCTTTCTACTTTTTCTTGGGCCTAGGGTGGTCGCCCCTGCTGCCCTCCCCCTAGGACAATACCATAAGTTATGGTACAAAAGTTTTTAGTACAACTCATGCTTATGACGTTTCTGGACATAGTACCTGACGTTCATGCTTACATTTTTTTAATATCCCAAAAAATCTTCTAACCTTCTTTTTATATAGCTTTGTGCGGTTAATATTTAATTATTTTTTTCTTGTTTAATCATAATTATGCATTTACACTTTATTATCACGTTGATAATTTTTTATTCAAATTAAACCCCAAAGAATTTTGTACAGTGAGATTACTTCGGACCTGTTAGATAATATCAGATAATATCATGTTATTATTATTTTGTATTAGATAATATTGATGACATGTATTATTGTTAAACTATACCTAGTCTTACGGTAGGTTTAAAATCCTACGTGAGTGCTCCACTAAATATGGATCTCTCAACAACCTAGTTTAGTATAGGCTGTATAGCTAGTATAAATACATGTACGTATGAGATAATAATCAAGTTTCAAATTCTAAGTCTCTGCATATTATTTGTGCCAAGTATCTCTTCCTTTATGGTATCAGAGCCCCAGTGATTGGTCACTGCCGGTTCCTTTCAGATCTAAAATCCTTTACTCTTTATTTTCACTTCCAAATGGCCACCTCTGGGTCATCATCTTCTATTTCTCTGGATGCAAACTCAAGTCCACAACTTATATCTCTAAATGCCCCTTCCCAAATACCTTTCAAACTCTCTCAAGATGGAAGCAATTTCTCTTCATGGAAAGCTCAAATCACCAATCTTCTTTTTGGGTATGATCTTCTTGGCTATGTGGACGGCACTCATAAAAAACCGGAATCCATCTCACCGACGTACAATTTATGGATAAGGCAAGACCGCCTTGTTCTACTGGCCATCCAGTCCACCGTCTCAAGCACCGTTAGTCCCATCATAAACAGCTGCACGTCCTCTGCAGAAGCATGGCAGAAACTGGACGCTAGTTTTGCCGCCAAATCCACCACGCGAATGCTTTCTCTCCTTAATAGCCTTGCAACAACAAAGAAGGCCGGCAAAACTGTGATGGAGTACTTTACCATTATGCAAGGTTTCATTGATGATCTAATCACCATTGGACATCCTCTTCCAGATGGACAAATCATGTCCTACATTCTTACTGGGTTTGGCTCAGAATTTAAAGAAACAACAGGAGCATTGCGTGTACTAGAAACCCCACTTCCCTTTGCGTCTCTGCGTAGTCACTTTCTCCATGCCGAAATGTTAGCCGCCGGTGATATCTCTGACACATCTATCACAGCAAATTACACCCAAAGGCGTGGTTCAAATAACAACTATCGTGGTCGAGGGGATCGTGGTCGTGGTGGACGTGGTCGCTCTCGACAGAATACTGGAGTCTTCTCTTATCAAAATGGATCCTCCTTCAATTCTCAACGAATCATTTGTCAGTTGTGTGACAAAGACGGCCATACTGCTCGTCAATGCTACTCCATGCGTGCACCTTCACCCACGGCACACGTAGCTGATGGGTCTCACACTTCCGGCAACAATGCTAACTGGCTACTGGACACTGGTGCAACTCATCATATTACTTCTGATTTAAACAACCTGGCAATCCATTCTGACTACAATGGTAGTGACTCGGTTATGATGGGTAACGGCAATGGTGTTCCAATTTCACATACTGGAACCACTGGTATTGTTTCATCTGATAAACACTTTATACTTAATAACGTTTTGTGTGCTCCTCTTATTCGTCGAAACCTTATCTCAGTCAACCAATTTTGTAAACAAAATAATACTTCCATTGAATTCTTACCTGATTCCTTTATTGTGAAGGATCTAAAGACAGGGGCATCCTTGGCGCAAGGCCGGAGTAAAAATAATCTTTATACATGGTCCCCTTCACCACCCAGTGCAGCTCTCGCCACTTCTCAATTATGGCATGAAAGACTTGGACACCCAGCCGCCTCTACTCAAAATAAAGTCCTTTCCACACATAAAATAAAGTCCAACTCTAAATCATTTATTTGTTCTCCTTGTCTCAAGGCCAAAAGTCATAAGTTACCTTTTTCAGTTTCATCAATAAAATGTACAAGTCCCTTCGAATATATTTATTCTGATGTTTGGGGACCACCTCCTGTTTCTGCTGTCAATAATACCAAATATTATGTTATCTTTGTTGATTATTACACAAAATACTCATGGCTATATCCCTTGCAAAATAAATCCGATGTGTATTCAGTTTTTAATAATTTTCGCACTTTAATTGAAAATTATTTTAAAACAAAAATACGCACACTATATACTGATGGTGGTGGTGAATTTAAATCCCTCACTTCTCTTCTTGCTACTCATGGAATACAGCATCTTATATCTCCACCCTATACACCTGAACATGTAGGCACAGCCGAGCGAAAACATCGTCATATAGTCGAAACAGCCCTCTCCCTTCTATTTCATGCAAATATTCCCCTCTACTATTGGCCATATGCTTTTCAACATGCTACATATCTTATTAACCGCATGCCTACCCCACTCCTAAATCATCTTAGCCCATATGAGAAATTATTTAATGACCCACCCGACTATAAGTCTCTTAAAGTTTTTGGTTGTATGTGTTACCCCTGGTTACGCCCCTACACAACCCACAAACTTCAGCCCCGCTCCCAACCATGTGTCTATCTTGGTTTTTCCAATACCTACCATGCTCATCAATGCCTAGAACCTAAGAGCCGTAAAATATTTACGTCTAGGCATGTATTATTTTTTGAATCACTCTTCCCCTTCACCACTAATAAGCCTCCCTCAGAAACTACATACAATAATGCACTACACTTATTCTTAAAAAAATGTCCTAACCCAAATACTTCCACCCCTCAATCACAACTCTCTGATTCTCTCCAGAATACCCATTCCCACACACCAGCTATTCCCCATACCACCTTACTGCCCATCCACCCTCCTGTACAAAACCTAGAACACGTACAAAACCAAACCAATCCCATACAACCCAATAATAATTCCATATCTTCCCCTTCTTCCAGTAACTCCACCCCACCATCCGATCCTATTTCTCCTTCAAGTCAACGTTCAACTTCCCCACCCACTACACCTATTCCATCACCACCCGCCATACCCAAACGTGTAACCCGTTCCCAGAACCAAATCTATAAACCCAACCCAAAATATCTCTTTCATACTCACGTACCTCCCACACCCACCACATACAAACAAGCATCCACTAGCCCCGAATGGTGTCAGGCCATGCATGATGAATATCAAGCCCTTCTCCGCAACCGTACTTGGTCTCTTGTCCCTCCTTCTGACACACAAAATGTTATTGGGTGCAAATGGGTTTATCGGGTAAAACAAAATCCGGATGGTTCCTTGGCCCGCTACAAAGCGCGCTTGGTTGCCAAAGGATTCCATCAACGTCCAGGTGTTGATTTCACCGATACTTTTAGTCCGGTTGTCAAACCGGCCACTGTTCGGCTTATACTCACTCTTGCCGTCATGCACAGTTGGCCCATTCGCCAACTTGACGTCAATAATGCTTTTTTGCAGGGAACCTTAAAGGATACAGTTTATATGGAGCAGCCTCCAGGTTATGTTGATTCCAAAGTCCCTCATCATGTGTGTCTTCTCCACAAGGCAATCTATGGCCTCCGCCAGGCGCCACGTGCATGGTATTGTGAGTTAAAAAACTATCTTCTCCATGCAGGTTTTAAGAACAGCAAGTGTGATGCATCTCTATTCATTCTCTCATCCCATGGCACACTCGTATACCTTTTGGTGTATGTCGACGACATCATTATTACAGGAAATAATTCTCGGGTTCTTAATTCCTGCATTGAAGCTCTTGCTCAACAATTTTCACTCAAGGATCTTGGCTCACTTTCCTATTTTCTGGGTCTGGAAGCCACCCGCACCTCCAAGGGTCTTTTTCTCACACAAAATAAATATACCACAGACTTGCTACGCAAACTTCATATGGATACTGCAGCTCCCACACCTACTCCTCTCTCCACAGGTGAGACTCTCTCTTTACATGATGGCTCTTCTTCGTGTGATATTACTACCTATCGAAGTGTGCTTGGTGCTCTCCAATACCTCTCCTTCACCCGCCCAGACATCAGTTTTGCCGTTAATAAACTAGCACAATTTATGCATCACCCTACCACAAAGCACTGGCAAGTAGTAAAACGGGTTCTTCGATACCTCCAGGGAACTACACACTTTGGCATTTTCATATCCTCAAATACTCCTTTTTCATTGCATGCTTTTGCCGATGCGGACTGGGCCGGGGATATTGATACACGCCATTCTACATCTGCCTATGTAGTTTTTCTTGGGTGTAATCCTATCAGTTGGAGCTCTAAGAAACAAACTACTGTAGCACGCTCTTCAACCGAAGCTGAGTATCGCTCAGTTGCCTCAACTTCTGCTGAACTCACATGGCTCCGTCAGCTCCTTCATGAACTCACCATTGTGCCACGCACTGTTCCTACAGTTTTTTGTGACAACATTAGCGCCACTTATGTGTGCTCCAATCCAGTCTTTCACTCACGCATGAAGCATGTGGCTATTGATTTTCATTTCGTGCGTGAACAAATTGCTCAAGGTCTTCTTCGGGTTACTCACGTTCACACCAAAGACCAACTCGCTGACTCCCTCACAAAGCCTCTTGCCCGTCATCTCTTTTTACATCATCGTACCAAGCTCGGTGTTCTTCCAAGACCACCTCACTTGCGGGGGGATGTTAGATAATATCAGATAATATCATGTTATTATTATTTTGTATTAGATAATATTGATGACATGTATTATTGTTAAACTATACCTAGTCTTACGGTAGGTTTAAAATCCTACGTGAGTGCTCCACTAAATATGGATCTCTCAACAACCTAGTTTAGTATAGGCTGTATAGCTAGTATAAATACATGTACGTATGAGATAATAATCAAGTTTCAAATTCTAAGTCTCTGCATATTATTTGTGCCAAGTATCTCTTCCTTTAGGACCCACCCATATTTTGGAGTCGCACAATGAGATGATGGGACCGGTAACGACTGCCGCGTCCAACTAAAAAATGCCCTAAATCAATAAATTGACCGTTTGAGAAAAAGCCTTTGTTGTGACTTTTGGGTAAACTATCCCTAAAATAAGATTTCGGGCCCATTATTTAACATGTAGACAAACCCACAATGCAGTCCATACGTAGAAACCCCAATACCATGTTACCTTGTCCATCACTATCATTATCATTACAATTTAAGGGAACAAAAAAGCCTTTGTACACAGCACACTTTTAGAATTTACACATTTTTCGGATAAATATTAAAGTGTGTATAACAAGAATGGTTAACAAGGGCATACTATTCATATTTAATTTGACCAGTGTTTAACATTACTTCTAACGAGTGTTTAACATTACTTCTAACGAGTATAACAAGTAAATATTACGGAGTAGAATTTAATCTAACGAGTGTCACTGCACCGGACTGGATCGATACAAAAAAAATTGAAAAAATTTACACAGGATTTTGACACTAAAAGTATGAGCATTTTTTGAACTTGGGGTAGGCCAGGGCTTGCCACTCCCTGGTCACGCCCCTGTTTCTAACAACGATTTTTTAAAATGATTTTAGAGAAATTACTTGATAGAAAAAATTGACAGTGTTTGAAAAAAAAAGAATTATTCCTGTACACAATGTTTTGTACGCACCATTCTACATACTTTTGTCTATAAACATGCTTTCATAGAAAAAAAATAACTACTTGTAGATGTGTATACGATGATCATCATCATCATTACCCCAGTGCCGCAAAGGTTCCCACCTACGGTTTGATAAGGGGAGTCGGGTGTACGCAACTTTACCCTGTACTAAAGCACAGAGAAACTGTTCCTGGAAGACCCATGGTGAAAATCACGTCGAGAATGGCATGGACTGACTGTTGCTTCATTACAAAGAAGCGCAACCAGTTTAGTGAGCCATTTTGCTTATTCCATCATATTCTCAAGCCAAAAAAAAGTGAATCTTTGGCTCCATTTCAAATAAGTGTGTGCGATGATGTGTATAAAAAAGTGTGTACAAATAGTTTTTTAAGAAAAATACTTTTGAAAAAGTATTTATTGATACTAGTATTTTTTTTATAAAATAGTACTCCATGTTTTTTCCAATAATAAAAAAGTGAAAAACCGTTTCAAGTATTGACCTGTCTACTTCAAACATTTATATTTGAAGTGTTTAATTTAAACAGAAGTTATCAGTTGAAAACACTTATTTAATTTTTTTTTAAATTTTAAGCCAAAAAGCAAAAGAAAAAAGACATTTCTAATTTTTTTGCAAACACTCGGTTCTTCTGGTTTTGTAAATGTACGGCTTGTTCATCATGTGATGGAAACGGAGTAAAAGACAGAGAAAGGAGAGTCCCTCGAAGTTTTCCAAGTCACCGGCCGAGTTGTAGTAGTACCCGCTCACAAAGTTAAATCCTCAATCTCAAGGATCCCCTACATCCTCTGACAAGATTTTTGAAAGGTTTTAAGTTATGTTGACTCAGTCAATCCAATGGTGGTAGATCTTGTACTCGTGCGCATCAGAGATCCAGCCCAGTACGCATGAGCTGTAACCTCCAGACGATCGCTGCGGGATTCGATCCTTGATCATTTTTCTAACTTTCGCACCAGTTAACCAACTGAACTACTCGTGCGGGTAGTTCTACTTACAAGTTTGTGTTCCAAATCACATTATACTCCGTATTTGTTTTCTTAATGTGAATGTTATTTGTGTACTCAAAATGTTTAGATTCGTGTTTATACTCGTACGAGTTTTTATAACGCGTATTGCGCGACGGAACAATGCCCAATTTTGTTATTTCCTAGACACGTAGTTGCATTTCGTTTATAACAAAATGACAAAGTGGTTTGTAACTTTTACATTATGGGAAGAAATAAGTTTTAAGTTCAATGTATTTTAATTAGTTGAATGTCCATCGTTTATGTTAAA